TGTTGGTTTTGAAGCATAACTCATGGAAACTGGGAATGTGCGTATTTCTAAGAATATTCCATTGTCCGTGGGCCTCTCCCCCGTCCCTCCCAGGTCCTGGATTTTTGCCTCCTCTTGCTAAAACACAACACCCTAAATACATCTGTCCATGCATTTCATTCTTTTGCTTTAAAACATTTGCCACCTGTGTTTGTTGTCCTTGCTTTAAAAAAAAAAATGTTTTTTGTTTGTTTATTTTTATTGATTTCAGAGTGGAAGAGAGAGAGAGAGAGAGAGAAACATCCATGATGAGAGAATCATGGACCGGCTGCCTCCTGCACGCCCCCTCCTGGGGATGGAGCCTGCCACCCGGGCCTGTGCCCTGACCGGGAATCAAACCGTGACCTCCTGGTTCCTAGGTCGACGCTCCACCGCTGAACCACACCGGCCGGGCTGTTGCCCTTGTTTTTAAGAGCTTTTTCAAAAACGGTGTCTGTCATGTTGTGCAGTGTTTTAAAACTTGCATTTTTTTTTTAATTTAAAAAAAGGAAAGTTTTTTGTTGTTGTTGTTTTGTGTTTTTCTTATCATTGTGTTTCCAAGATCTCCTGCTACGTGCGCCTGTGTTTTGCTCAGCATTGCTGCGGGAGAGCGTTGCCTTCTGGGAATAGGATACAATGCATTGTGTTTCTACTGAGACGTGTCCATTGTCAGCTGTGCTCTGCCTCATATTTCCCCTTCCCATAGATTGCATTTCGGCGGGGAGAGGTGCGGGAGGGGTTGGGTGCGTGGAGCAGAATGATTACACATACAGCTGCTTCCACGCAGACAGTTTGTAACAAATGAGAAGCGCACAGGGAAATGGTCGCAGGGAGAACGGCGTGGAAACAACGTATTTCGGTGCCTTGTCCCATGGGCTGGTGAGGCAGAGAGACCACGCACTGTTTGGCCCCCACGGTTTCACTCCCGAGGCTGAAAAACTAAGTCTGACTTTCGGCAGGGAGAGGGGAATCATTGAAAAAGGAAAAAAAAAAAAAATCGCCTTCTTTGTCCATGTGATGGAGTTAGAGCTGAAAGACAAAACTCCATTTTGAGTCATCTATATAATGAGTGTCTAACTTCACTGCCTGCGATAGCTTAATCTTACTGACTCCCTACCACTTTAGGACAACACAGACATTAAAATATATATACCCTGTTTCCCCCAAAATAAGACAGTGTCTTATATTAATTTTTGCTCCCAAAGATGCGCTAGGTCTTATTTTCAGGGGATGTCTTATTTTTTTCCACGAAGAAGAATACGGTACACATGTATTGTTAAATGAAAATAAAGGACATTTATTACCTGTATACGGAACAGTAGTACGGTAGTTGTCGACACAAACCAGACAAACTGTGAATCCTACAGTATCAAGAAGTCACTCATTTATTCAATGACAATCATGTCATCATCTTCTGGAACATCATCATAGCAATCCAATTCCTGAGTTTCCTGGTGAATTTCTTGTGACTCCATTTCTTTCATAATCAGTGGACCAAATCTCTCATGTTTAGCCTTGGGTGGGGGGCTTATTTTCGGAGGATGTCTTATTTCTGGGGAAACACGGTATATATAAAAGGGAAAGGGTTTTTGGTTAAACAATGGAAATAAGGAAGGATTTCTCCTTATTTATGTATCTCCTGTACTGAGGGACCCCTAAACCGGAGATTTTATTACGAATCCTAAAACTATAGTGTGTAGCATTTAAAGATTTTTAGATTAGCATCCGTCTTTTAAAAGTCAGCTCTAAAACTTCTGCCTGGATTTACAAGTATGTGCTTTAAAAAAAAAATACTAAACACCCAATGTAGCAAGATCGTAAGAATATTGATTTTTTTTTTTCTCCCTTTTCACTAAAGTGCCGATGGCTCCGTCCCCGTCCACACCAAGCCTGGTGCAGGGAGTCCTCAGAAGGAATATTTTAAAACCCCGTGGACTTGCATTTCAATCATTCCCACTTTTTTAAACGACACAGGCTACCATGTAACTTGCTTTTCTTAAAAGATCCTAATTGATTTGCTCCTTGGTGCCTGTCCAGATCGCCGACAACTGGAACATTTTAGGGAGAAAGAAAGAGAGAGAAAGAAAAGAAGCTGAATTTCACTCGGGCAAAAACAATCCCATATGCATAGCTCTCTTCAGGAAAAAAAAAAAAAAAAAAGTAAAAAAAAAAAAAAGTTCGACTTTCCTTCTATACAAGGGACTCACTGAAACGAGCTAAAAAAAACGGATCCAGAGGGTAAATAGTGAGGGTGGAGGTGGGGGTGGGGATCCGGGGAGGCCAGGGCGCCATGGAGGATAGCTTTTGCCTTGCGTTTAGCTCTGAATTTAAAAAACAAAACAAAACAAAAATTTCCAAAACGACGGGCGGCATGGTGGACACTCTCTCCGTATCCCTCTCCCTTAGAGCAGAAGGAGCCGCGGGCCAGACAGCCTGGCTGCTGAGCAGACAAACACCTCCATCTGGAAGTCGGGGACGTGGGTTAGCCGCCTTCTTTTTATTTATTTTATTGATTATGGACGCCCACGAGCCGGAGTCCTGGAACCCCATCACATGGAGGGCGACGCGGGCTGCTCTCCTTTTTTTTTTTTTTTTTTTAATTTAATTTATTTTATTTTATTTTTAAGTCCACGTCTTTCGAATTCAGTTCTCCAGCCATTGCTAGGCAGCCCCCCTTAACGGACCTGGTCGGTCTGTCTCCGCCGCCTAGGTGGCAGCCCTGGGGCGCTCTGGCTTTGGGGAACCCTCCTTGGGGACGTTTTGGGGACCCCCCTTAGGAGCCCTGGGCCGGGGAGCTGGCGTCTGGGCCCTTCCCCAGCCAAGGAAGCCAGAGGGAGGTGCCCGCGGGGGCCCAGGGCAGGTGCGGGAGGGTTTGCGCCCTGACCACCGATCACGCGCCTATGCAGCGGGTTCCAAGGTCCCTACTCCAACCAGGGAGACAGGCCCCCGGTCCCCGACCTCTGGCTTTGGGGGCCCCCCTAGGACACACCCCCTAGCCTCGGGGCAGCCACCGCAGCCCGCATCGTGCACGCGCTTCGGCCGCTCCCCGCAGCCGTCCACGTGGTGCAGCGCCGAGGGCGCGAGAAGCGTTCGGGGAGGGCCGTGGGTCCCCGAGGCCACGCCAGCGCGACCCAGGCGCGCCGGGCCCCCCTAGTCCGGGCCCCCACATTTCCTCTGGCGGAGGGCAAGCCTGCCAGGGCGCCCGCCGCGCCCCCTAGCGGTCGGCGCTGGCACGCGCCCTGGGCGCGCGGGGCAGCCTGTCTGAACCTCAACCCCCACTCCTCCTCCCCATTCCCCAGCTGCGGGTCGTCTCCCCTCGCATCCCCAGGCCGAGCCCCACGGGCCGCGCCCTTCCCCCGCGTCAGCTCCCCGCGGGCCCCGCAACTCTGGGCTTCCTTGCGGGGGGAAAAGCGCCCGCCGCCTCGGGAGCCTCGGGGTCTCTCCTTGCTCCCAGGTGCGTCCCTCCCGCCCGGCTCGGGCTTCCCAGCGGGCTGCGGGGAAAACCCCCCCCCCCAAAAAAAATGCCGCATGCATGCACGCACTTCTTTATTTATTTTGCAACAGCTGCGAGAAACAATGAAGCTTTTCAAGAAACGAGGGGAACGCGCTCTCCAACCGCGCTGGGTTGTTTTTCAATGAACCTCTCTCTCGGGCCCCGCATTCCCTCCCACTCCGCCCATCCCACCCGTCTGCCCTCCACATCCCACCCCTCTCCCTCCCCTTCGCCTCTCTCCCCCAGCTCGGCCCCCCTCTCCCGAGCCCGGACTGGCGCCTGGGACATTGTTTTTGGAGTCTTGCGGGAGGGGGGCCGGAGCGGGGAGGAGGGGGCGCGCGCGCGCGCGGGCGGGTGCGCGCGGGCGGGGGGCGGGGGCGGCGCCTCTCTCTGCTCGCCCTGCACCTAGCGCTCCGGCGGCCCCGGCCGCTCCGGCTCCGCTCCGCACGTCCCCGCGATCCAGTTCTCCGGCTCTTGGCGCGCGCCGGGCTGGGCCGGGCCCTGGGCGCGCCGCGGCGGCGGCGGCGGCGGCTGCGGCTCCCGGGGGCGCGCGGAGCGGGTGCGCGGACCCCAGAGCGAGCGCGCCGGAGCCCTCCTCGCCAGTGTGTGTGGCGGCGGCGGCGGCGGCGGCAGCAGAGCGGCGAGGCTGAGGCTCTTGTTTACCAGCTATTCACTCCGCGCTCGGCGGAGGGGGGGAGGGAGGAAAAAAAAAAAAAAGGGAAAAAAACCTGCGGACACGCGAGCGCACCGGGCGAGCTCGGGAGAGAGGCGGGCGGGCGAGCCAGGGGGACGCAGCCCGTGCGTCTGCCCCCGGCGCGCCCGTGCGGGAGCCTGCAGCCCCTCGGCCCCGCTCCCCCGCGTCGGGGGACTCCTCGGCTTTGACCTTCAGCGGAGCCCGAGCCCCCACGCGCGGGGCCGGCGGCGGCGGCGGCAGGCGGGGGCCGGCGCGGCGCGGGCGGCCCGCCGCTTTGTGTGCGCCCCGGATTCGGGAGGCAGGCGGCGGCGGCGAGCCCGCAGGACCCGCCGGAGCGGAGCGGCTCATTCATTTTTGACGCCGCATCTCGCGGCCTCGCCCGCGCCCGGCACTTGGGGCGAAGCTTGCGAACTGCATCGCGCCCTCCCCGCCGCCCGGGCTCTGGCAGCGGGCAGCCTCCCCCTGGGGTCGGGGCCGGGTCGGATTTGGGCTTTGCCCCCTCTCGGTGCAGTTGCCTCCCCCCCCCCCCCCATCTCTGCTTTGAAAATGGAGGCCGCCGCCGCCTCCGAGCGCTCGGCCCGGTGCGCCCCGCGTTCCCCGGTGCGCCCAGCCCTCGGCCGCCGCTGAGCCGCCCCCCGCGCCGCCCGCCCCGTCCGCTCCGCCTGCGGACTGCCGTCTCCTTCGCCCTCGCCTTCGGAGAAGGGGGGCGAACACTGCGCTGGTGACTCTCCCTTGCCCTCCCCACCCCCTTTTTATTATTTTGGAGAAAGGAGAGTGTTGTCCCCAGCCGCAGGGATGAAGCCCGCCCTCGGAGGGGGCTCCCTGGCCTCGCTGTGGGCGCTCCTGTTCGTCGCCGCCGTGCTCGCCGTCTGGCCGACGAGCGGAGAAAGTGAGTATCTGCCCGCCGCCCGCGGAACTTTTCCACGGACGGGCTGCGCCCTGTTGGCGAAAATCCGAGGGGTCGTGGCGACCGCCCCCCCTCTTTACCCGCCCCCCCCTCCGTGCGGGAGCGGCGGGGCGGGGCGCAGAGGGGCCCGGGCTGGTGACTGACCCCCCCCCCCGCAAGAAGGGCCTCAGGGGCTTTCTCTCTCGATGTCCCGAGTGTCTCCGAAGCGCCCCGTGGCCCGCCAGGCGCTGGGACGCGATCGGGGAAGTTTGCGCGCGGCCGGACTCCGCCGCCCGCACCCCGTCCCCCTCCGGGCGTGCGGAGAGGGCCCAGCGCGGCGCACGGACGGCGGCGGGGACCGCGCTCCCGCGGGCGCGCCGAGCCCTGGCAGCGGGGCAGACTCGGTGTCTGCTGGCGGGGAGCCCGCTAGCTGGGGGAGGGGGGGGTGTGGGGAGGTGGGGGGGGGAGAGTGCAAGTTACCCTCAGGACCCGCACCCAGCACACCTCCCCAAACTCCTCCGCGCGGCCTCCCGTTTGGCGACGCGCCGGGCACCCCTGGGCTCTTGAAGCTTCTGGGCCTTTCCCGTCACTTTCGCTCGCCCCCGGCTCCCCAGGGCCGCGCGGTGTGTGGCTCGGAGGTGCGGGGAGAGCGGTCCAGCCGAGCGCCGCATCCCGCTGCCGTGCAGCCCCGAGAAGGGGGCGGGGGGGGGAGGGAAAGAAGGTGCGAAAGCGAGGGTGCCCCGTGCCAACTCCGCGCTTCTGGGGAGCGCGTCCCGTCCGGGTCCCGCGGGCTCGGGCACCTCCCACTTGGTAACCCGGCTGGAGAGGGGGTGGCCACGCGGCACCCGAGCTCGCGAGTGGGTGTGTGGCTGGAGCCGATGTGTTTGCAACGTGGGGGTGCAGGCGCCGCCGCCACACGAGGACCCCTGGATGCCGTGGCTCTCCGGCCCGAGCGCGAGGCTCCGGGGCGGCGGCGGAGGAGAGAGAAGAGGAGCGTGTTTTGTTTTTGCGACGCGCGCAGCCCTGCTGGCCTTGGAATTGAGGCCAGAACAGTGGGGCGACCCCCTTTTGTCGTCCCCCCCACCGCCTCGCACTTCCTTTGTACATAGTTAATAAGCAATATCTCTCCACACGCGCTATCGCTTGCAATCTGATAGCTTTTGTTTGGGTAGCGTCGGGTAGGGGTAGGGAAAAACGGGGAGGGAGGGAGGGAGGGAGGGAGAGAGGGAGGGTGGAGGGGGGAGAAGTTACTGTGTCTTCTCCCCCCCCTCCCATGGGCTGCGGAGGGAGGTGAGGAGGGGTCCTGCAACTGGCAGGGAATCACAAAGGCGGCTGGCGGCTACACTGTGGAAGGTAAGGCAACTTGGTGGCGATGGAAAACTTTCCATGTGCGGGCGCAGAGCGCGGCTGGGAGCGGCGAGGGCGCGCTGGTGAGCGCGTGATTGCCAAGGGTAGGTATGCAGGTGGCGCCACTTAAAAAACACACACACACAATACCCACCCCTGAGCCCTGAGCCCTGAGCAGCGAAGGGGACAATGCCGAGGCATGGGGGCCATTTCTGTCTAAGCACACCCTCCCGCCAGGCCCGGGGAGCCGCACGGAGAGCGGGGCTTTTAAGATCGAATTCGCGCGACGAATTCTGCGTGGAGTTGAGACGCGCGCGCCTCGGGTCCTCCTGCTCCTTTGTTTGCTCAACTTTCAGCTCACTGGGTGGGGCCAGAGGCTTGGGGTTCCCTCCGTCGGAGGCGCACAGATCTGCATTTTGGGGGATGAGGCGAGGGGGAGGGGGCTTTCCAGCCTTGAAAAGCCACGTAGTAAAGTTTGGAAAACGCCCTGAAGTTTGGGAAAAGGCCGGAGACCGAATGCAAGGAATGCTCATTCCTGCCCTTGATCCCCCTCCGCCCTCCCCAGGCTCTGGTTTTGTGATTTCACGTGTGAGTCACTTCTGAAATTCACAAAAGGAGGGGATGGCCTGGCCTCAGTCTTCAAGAAAATACATTCTTTCGGACAGGCGGGTTTTTTTTTTCTTCTTCTTCTTTTTCTCAAGAAAACAGGCGGGAGGAGGAGGGGGTGTCATGGGTGTTTCCAGTCCCGCGAGCCAAATCCTTTCTCTCCAGGAGGCCTTGAAATGGTGGGCACCAGAGGCCGCCATTTGGTGGCCGATGGAACCCATTACCCGCCCCTCCCTGCAGCTCTGGAATTTTTAGGGGGCGTTAGGATATCTATCCCAGAGCGGGCATCCATTCCTTTTTTTTTTTTTTAAAGCCCAGAAAGTGCTAGAACACAACTCTGATACAATGCCCGATCAGTCTGGCTGGGATTCTCTGGGCAGGCGATTGGTCGAGGGCAGTCATAAAGAGTGGGGGGTGTGTGTGTGTGGGGGGGGATGAGCCAGCCATAGGATGAGCTTAGAGAGAAAAAAAAAAAAACCAAAACACCCTCGAAGTTAGACCCCTGGGGCGAGTTGGGAGCAGAGAAGTCACCAGGAGAGGCGGTTTCCCACCCAGCAACGTGGACAGAGCGTCTCTCTCCATGAGGTTGGGGTGCTAGGCCTGGTGGCCAGCTAATCGGATGGTTCTAAAAAAAAGTAAACATAAAAACACAAAGTGCACTTTTACACATACGCGGCCATCTCCATAAAAAGTGCTGAGTCCTTTTTCTGCCCCAGACGCAGCTCTGGTCAGGGATGGGACGGGGCGCCCCACGGGGTGGGTGTTTTAGCAGCAGCAGAAGGTGTAGGGGACGAGCCCAATAGCACAGGCCGGTGTGCGGACGCCTCAGAGGAGGGTAGCCGGGGACAGGGCGCTTTTGCTGGGTCGGATGTGCAGGGAGGATGGGAGAAATTCGGCCTTGGGGGAAATGGGGGCAGGTTGGCCCCAAGAACCTTAAAAACACGCAAAGCGAAAGGAGTCAGGCGCGGAGGATCACGTAGCGTGTGGTCTGGTTCCACGTATGCAGAACTCGGGGAGCCAATCCAGAGAGAGAGAGTAGACCAGTGTGTGTGTGTGTGTGTGTGTGTGTGTGTGTGTGTGTGTGAGAGAGAGAGAGAGAGAGAGAGAGAGAGAGAGGAGAGGAAGGGAGAGAAGGGGGTTCCTGGGGGAGGGTACCCAGTTTTTTTTTGGAGGGGGGTGTGATGAGACTGTGCTCATACAACCCTCCAAATATACAGAACATGAGTGGCTTTTATGGTATGTGACTTCCATTTCAACAAACCGGTTCTTTCTTTCCTGACATTCGCGAAGGCGGGGAGGAACGCACTGTTACCTAGGGCTTAGGTTGAAATTCTCAGGTGCGTTAGGTCCAAAGGTGGGTGCCTGGCTGGCCCTGTCTGAGGGAAGGAGTTTTGCTACAATTTACAATCACAACCCTAAGTGATCCCCGGAGCTTGACGCTTGGGGCGGATAGTCCAGCCATCGGAGGGCCTTTTTTTTTTTTTTTTTTAAATCACATGCATTTTCCACCCTGTGGCCATTTCGCGAAAGGAATCCTGGAGACATGGACAGCCAGGGGAAATACAGAGTTCAAATTCAAAATGGAGGAGCTGGATGGGAATACACACACACACACACACACACACACACACACACGCTCACATACACACACGCTCACACACACACACGCTCACATACACACACGCTCACACACACACACGCTCACATACACACACGCTCACACACACTCACAAACACACACACGCTCTCACACACACACACACGCACACACATGCTAGTCAGTTTTGTAGCAGGAAAATTATTCACCGAACCCGAAACACTGTTGGTCTTTTCCAAGATGAGAGTTGAGAAGCTGAGTTCGGATGGCTTTTTTTTTTTTTTTCTTTTTTTTTTCCCCCCCTCATATTTCCAGCTCCTTCCATATGTTTTCCAACACAGAACGAAAGGCATGTTGTGAGAGGGGTCTGGGATTTTCACTTTTTTTCTGATATTCCATAGGAACCACCCTGAGATAGTAAAGACGGAGGGGAAGAGGAGCTGTTCATTTGAATGTAGTGGGGTTTTTTTTGTTTGTTGGTTGGTTTTTTAATCCCTTAGTTGCTTATTTTATTTTTTGGCACAGCTTTAGCATCTGAGCTGGAAAAAAGCATCTTGGTAACCTCCAGCAGCTATGCAGGCATCGTGTCTTTAAAAAAATTTTTTTTCTTAAGGAGCAAAAGGTTTTTACAATCCAACAAAGGCGTGTGTGTGCGTGTGTGTGTGTGTGTGTGGTTGCCATACTGTTCTGCCCTTCTCCAAGTTTACCTTGGCCCTTTAACATGAAGGGATGCAGCAAAGAATTGTTGTTTACGTTTGTTTGGGGCCTTTGTTTTGGCTGAGTTCACCGGACAAGAATGTGTTTCCTCTCGTTACTGCTCGGGCAGTAAATGCAAATGAAATGGAGCATTTTCACTTGTTGCCTTACTGAGCGGTGCCAGGGAGGGGATCCCTGAGGGATGGCCGCTTCCTTTTCCACCCGGGTTCCCATCGGTTTTGTAAGAACGTGAGGAGCAACGAGAAGCAACAGGGACAGACACAGCCGGGCGTTGAGTGGGCACCTGCTGTATGCAATGTGGCCGGGCCCTGCCTGAGCTCGGCTCCGCTGGCTCGCTGCAGCAAGAGAGTGTGGCCCCGGGCGCATGTTAGATACTCCAGCCTGACACAGTTGCCTGCAAACTGTTACATTGTTTTCAAGGAAGACTGCAAACAGCATTTTTTTTTTTTAAAAGGCCCTTAGAGAACCTTGCCATAGACCTAAGATAGTGAAGTTAGACTCGCTGGTCTTCTGAAGGCCTGTGCTGGAGGTACCCTCTGCCTCGGGGTGCAGTGTCACGCTGCAGGGCATGACCTAAAGGGGACATTCGCCCACCGGCCATGCTCGGCCACCCTGCCTTCTTTATAATGTGGGTGGTTTGGGCAGTTTTGATTTAAAATGCGCAGCGCCGGGGGCTCCCTTTTGCCAGAACCCAGGAGTCACAGGTGTGTGTGTGTGTGTGTGTGTGCGCGCGCGC